AGTGCTGGTTCAGAGCTGCTGGCAGCTCCAAAATCCTCCCTCGGAACCTTCGGGGGGATTTGTGCAGTGCTTGGCGGGGCTTTGCAGAGCCCAGAGAGCCCCAGCAGCCCCGTGTTAACCCCCAGGAGTCCCTGTGCTGCTGGAAGGAGCCGTGGCCTGATGAAGACCCTGCTGAAGAAGATTTTGTTGAGTCCCACAGCTTGCCCAGGGCTGGGAAGTGTCGGTAGTTTGTTCCCACACGCTGGGTGGTGAAGGATTACAAGCCCTTGTAGGGCAGAGAGAGGGAGGTGTTCATTCAGGTGAGGGATGAAGTGCGTGGTACAGCAGACTGACACCCTGCGGGCTTTGCTGTGCTCTCACTGGGAGTGTGGGGATCTCTCCAGAGGCTCCACCAGCCTGGAAGCCCAGCCAGAACCAGGATTCACAGGAAAAGGGGCTGGATCTGGCGGGTAAAACAGAAGGAGACACAGCTGAGCATCCTACTGAGAGCCCAGGAGGAGGCACAGATGTGTCATCCCAGCTCGTGGCAGGTTTCCTTCAGAAACCAGAGCAGAAGGGGAAAAAAACACTAAGACATGAAAACCAAAACAAAGCCCCGGCATTGTTTAGGAGCTGACAAATCCCAAACTGCCCTCTCTTATTTGCTTGTGTGTACTCTTAGCTGGGAAGCAATCAATGGAGTCAGAAAAATGCTATTTCCCTGAAGAATGTCTCCTTAGAAAAGTTCCTCCCTCCCTCTTCAGTGTTAAAAGGACCCACTGCAGGTATTCTATTTTTTGTTCATTCTTTAATCACCGGTTTTCAGTGCTGACTGTAATAACCCCTTTGAAACTTGGATCAAAATATCTCTTTCCTGGTTGAAATTTGTTTTCTTCCATCACCCGAGCAAATTCAATTTGCAGAAGATACTGAATTGGGAGGCACCTGGTACTCCCTCCAGAGAGGCCAGAGGAAAACAAAAGCACATTAGAAATATGAGAAAGGAAACAACAGAATGAAACCAAGCCCACAGGGGAAGAAATGCCCATCTGGGGACACAGACTGAGATGGTGCTCGGTGAAAAGAAATTAAGATGAGAAAATCTGCACATCTCTGCTCTGGAGCCAGGCTGGGAGAGCTGGGGGTGCTCACCTGGAGAGGAGAAGCTCCAGGGAGAGCTCAGAGCCCCTCCAGGGCCTGAAGGGGCTCCAGGAGAGCTGGAGAGGGACTGGGGACAAGGGATGGAGGGACAAGACACAGGGAATGGCTCCCACTGCCAGAGGGCAGGGATGGATGGGAGATTGGGAATTGGGAATTGTTCCCTGGGAAGATGATGAGGCCCTGGCACAGGTGCCCAGAGCAGCTGTGGCTGCCCCTGGATCCCTGGCAGTGCCCAAGGCCAGGCTGGACAGGGCTGGGAGCAGCCTGGGATAGAGGAAAGTGTCCCTGGCCATGGGACAAGATGAGCTTTAAGGTCACTTCCACCCCAAACCCTTCTGGGATTTTGGTTCTATGATCTGCACTGGTCACATGACACGGGATGGTGGAGCAGGGGCGAATTTGGGGCTGGGGACTCCAAAGGTGCCTGCCAGTGGTAGAGGGCAGGAAATGAAGACCCCACAGTCACCCTGTGGGGACCACCCGAGAGGCACAGGGGCACTGGGAGGGGTCCCATGGGGTCCCCTCTGCCCGTGCAGCCACAGAAACAGGTCCTGTGGGCAGCATCCCCACACACAGACCCTCACCCCTCTCCTGGCTCAGGGGAGCCCCCCTGCCCAGCCCTGCCCCTGCAGTGCAGTCTGGCCAAGGGTGAAAATCAGCAAAGCAGCGACAGGCGAGTTAGTGGCCAAGTCATCCGAGGAGAGACTAAAGCAGGTACATTTATATAGTCTGGAGAAGACCCTGGGTGGCACATTTGCAATCTATAAATACCTTCAAAGGAACAACATCAATGAAAGGAGCCCCTGATCTCCAGGCTGGCAGGACCAGGAGCTGGCTGGGAGCCAGGCTTGGTGCAGTACAGCCACGGAGACAGGAGGAAGAAATCCCAGAGAGCCTCAGCAGTGGAGGTGGTGGATGGGGCTGCAGGAGCATCCTCCCGTCTTCTCTGCTGTGTTGTATTGAGGTTCTGTCTATTAATAACAACTGAATGGTTAATAGGTGAGCAAGGCACGTTATGGGCTGGTTAAAACCCTCAGTAAGTTGCCTTCTGGCTGTCCATGAGCCCGTCACAGGAAGCTTTACAAGAGGGTTATCAGTTGCCATTATTAAAAACCAATTTGACATTATAAAAGATCCATACTGCTCGTTCTGCCACATTGATTTAGCAATGTTAAGCCTTGGAAAACTGGAGCAAGAACCTTGATCTCTGCTGAAGCACGAAAAATTGGTGTTTGTGACACATCAGGAAATCCAGTTTTGCAGCAGCAATGGGTTTGAGCAAATCCAAAAAGCACCATGCCACGGTGGTTGAGGGTGTTTTCCCAAGCAGCTGCGATGTCAAACAGCTCTTGGAAACCTTGTTCTGTTTTGCAGCATCCAGAAGGACCTCATCTGAGCTCTGCCCAGCTCAAACCCACTTCCAGACACTTCTCCATCTGGTTCCTATTCCCAGTGCTGTCTGAGAACGCTGGGAGGATGAACTGCAGACAGGTGCAAGGACATGACACCACAAGTCACTTTTATCCTCATCTTGAAGCCTCCTTCTTGTCCTTTTCACATCAGGAAGGGTGGATTTGTGCAAAATACCCAGGAAAGTGCCTGCCACTAGAGAAGCTCTGGATTGTCCCAAAAGTTTGGTGCCATGCCCTGTCCCATTGATTGCTGAAAAAAATGGCTTCATGTACCTGCTGCCTTCCTTGAGCACCTGAGGAGCAAATGAGACCTTCCAGAGGCTGGGAAACTTCTCATGGCTGGGAATCTGTACACGGACAAAATTGTAAAAGCTTAATGGAGCAGAAATATTCCTGAGAAAGAGCATGGGGCATTTCCCCATTCAGCATTTCCCCATTCACCAGCTGGAGTTTCCCTGTCACTCTAGATTCCTTCCTGCCTTCCTTCCTCTTCCTTCCTTCCTCCCTGCCTTTCCTCTCTTCCCTCCTTCCTTCCTTCTCAGGATTTTCATAATTCAGGCCTTTTTTTCCAGGATTTTCAGAATTCAGGCCTTTAGAGCAGAAAACCAGACAGGAGCTGTCAGGAAGGTGTCTCCTCTCCATCCCACAAGCTGTGCCAAGCTTTGGCCATGAGGCACCAGGCCTCTGGCAGATGCCCCCGTGCCTCTGCTGCCCCATGCCCAAGGACCCAGCTGCTGCCACCGCTGGCAGGTGCCCCCACAACGGGCAGCAGAATTCCTGTGGCACGGAGGCAGCAGGGCAAGGCAGGAGCAGGGAAGCAGGATGCTGCTTGGCTTGGGCTGCAGTTCCCTCTGGGAGGAGAAAGGCATCACCAAAGCACCACTGCCCATTCAGCCCTCTGGAGCAGCACCTGGAAGGCTCCGTTTGCACGGGTGCTTCCATACAGAACCTCCCTCATTAACACACGAAGTGCAGCCCTAGAAATAAAACCTGATTAATTATTGGCAGGGGAGGCGAGGGAGGCAGGGGAGGGAAGCTGAAGTGGCCAGTCAGCATCTGTTAGAAGTGTGAAGATAAATGGAAGGCGAGGGCAGGTCAGTGCATACAAATGGCTCCCATCGCTCGGGAACACCTCTCAGAGCGCCGTGTCACCACGGGGGAGGCTGAGCAGGGCACCGAGGCTCACAGTAGCCCGTGCTCGGGGAATTGGCTCTGGCAGCACCCAGGGTGTTCTCCAGCCTGCCATGGACGAGCATTCCGCTCCCTCTCCAGCCCCACTGAGGCACATCAGTGCCTGTGGACCTCCAGCAGGAGCTCCCTGCAGCTCCAGTCGTCCTTGGCTGCCTTTGGGGCAGCATTGAAGCAGTGGGGGACCACGGCAGAGTGACAGGAGCAAGGAGAGGGAAGCAGGAGACCGCTGGGAAGACCAGGAGCAGATGCTGCTTGCCTTGAAGGGGACAGCTTTCCCCAGGCCACCCCACCGACCCCGTGTGCGGAGCGGCCTCAGCACCTCCTTCCTCTCTCCAGAGCCCAGCTCCCGGTGCCTGCATCCTTCCCAACCCACCCCGCACAACCAGAAGGGCAGCCCTAAAACAACCAGGCAGAGACTCCTCAGGGAAACCCTCTTCCCTCCAATTTACCTGTCAGTTGTTTGGGGAGGATTATTATATGTTTTTTCCCAGGCTTTTTTCTTTTTTCCCCTTCCCCAAAGGGTGGCTGGAGTTTCACACTGCCTGACAGCATCTCCCGCCTTTCCCACCCGTTCCCGAGTGGCAGCTTGCCAGATGGTGCCCCATTAGGTCACATTTGCTCATTGTTTGGCAAACAGGGCTTAATTCAAGTGCTGAGTTGACAGCTTGTTCTCCAAGACAATTTGCAAGTTGCAGTGTTGCAAATGCCAGCTTGGCTTTTCGGGAAATGTTATTTCAGCTGCCTTAAAGGGATAAAGTTCTCTTTGACTGGGGAAAAAAAAATTAAAAAAAAAAATAAAAAGGAAGAAAAGGGCCAAAGCAGGAGCAGGCAGCAGAAAATGTTTTTAGTGGTTTTGAGGAGGAAGGACCAGCAGTGTTGTTGGCAAGCATTCAGGAAGGGACTGTCATTCCCCATCAAGTGGAGACACTCCATGTTCCATTCCTCCCATCACTGAGGTCCTTCACAATCCTAAAAACTGAGGTGTATTCCCACTGAAACAGGGTAATAGAATGTTGGCTTCTTTTGGAAAGGTTTCTGTAGGGGTGCACGTACACATCCCTCTGATGGCTCCTCTCCAAAACCTGTGGCTGTAGTCCCTAAATCCCCAGGGAAGGGGACAATGCTGAGAACAAGTTCATGTCCCTTCTGAAGTCAGGGGCACTCTGGGCCTGCTGCCCCCAGCACTGTGACAGCTACACATGGACGTGGCAAAAGACACAAAAGAGCACCATGACAATGCTCTGTTTTCTTCAACAGGTGGGCAAAAAAAGGCCAGGTTATAAAGGAAGCCTCCGGTGACTTCTACGAAACCATCGTGGACCACACCTTCTTCTTTGAGCCCGTCTCCTGCGAGGTCACCAATGCTCTGGGCAGCACAAACATCAGCAGGACCGTGGATGTCTACTGTGAGTAACTTGTTGGCTTCAGTCCGGCTTCCAGGCTCAGCAGAGCTGCTGAAAATCAGCAGGCAGCAGACACAGCTCAGTCTGACTTGCCCAGGGTGGCAGGACCTGCTGGGCTCTCCTGCAGCTCACACTGTCTAAATGCTCTGGTGGTTGGACCTGCGATTTCCTTGCGAGCTCGTGGGGTGGTCACTGGGGAGCTGGTCCCTCTGGAGTTGCAGCAGGCACCACCTGAGGCTTTTCTTTATGTGAGCCCCATCAAGATCTACCACTGCTCCCTCTGACCTGTTTGGTGTGGGGGTTTCTGGCTGGCAGAGCCCGTCCCGGGCAGTAACTCCAGTTTCCTCTGCGCAGTTGGGCCCAGGATGGCGACAGAACCGCAGTCCCTGCTGGTGGACCTGGGCTCGGACGCGGTGTTCAACTGTGCCTGGACTGGGAACCCCTCTCTCACCATCGTCTGGATGAAGCGAGGCTCGGGCGTGGTAAGAACACAGCGGGGCAGGGGCACGTGCAGGGCAGGGGGTGCTGCAGGACACTTCCTGTTGGAATCTGGGGTATTGATGAGTCTGAGATTGTAGAAAGTCTCTGTCTTTCTGCCCCGCTGCCAAAGCAGAAGCCAGAATTGGTCTGTGCTGGTTTCCAGGTTGTTTATTCTGTTTATCTCTCACATGTTCTGCTGCCCTGCCCAGCTCTGTCCTGCAGGGCAGCGTGTGGGGCTCTGCCCTCAGTGGGATGTGACAAACATTAAATACCAGAAACTCCCTGGGCTGCATTGACAAGAACGTGCCAATATCTGTCACCTACGTTGGACAGTGTGTCCCCAGCCTGAACCAACAGAAAAATGCCAACACCACAGTGAAACATGGAGGGCATGAAGAAGGAGAAAAAGGACAAGGCACACCCAATTTCCTCCATCTTGTCCCCTTTGGACCCCTCATCTAGAATCCTAAAATTTTACTTTTGCACCCGTGCCACACTGAATTATTACTGATATCAAACACTCAGAGATGGTAATTCATCCTGTAAGATTGAAAACTCTTTTCCATGGCCAGAGATCACAGCCAGTGTCTCTGGGGGATCTGTCCAGGGGGTTCCTGACCCCTGCCAGGGTCCCAGACCTGCCAGGGCAACCAGAGGGAAGCCCTGGATTCCCACAACTTCCCATGGAGCAGAACCCGTGTGGTCTGGGAGCTCCTCCAAATGCAAAGGGGTTCCAAGAGTGGGGGAATTTATTTCCATCATGATGGACAGAAAGGTTGAACTGGAGTATCACTTAGCACCTCACTGATGGGGAAGAATTCTGCAATTCACCTGCATGTGGTTCCTTCTGGGATGGTCCTGTGTGGGATAGTCCTTCCTGGGATAGTCCTTTCTGGGATGGTTCTTCCTGGAATGGTCTTTTCAGGGATGTTCCTCTCTGGGATGGACCTTCCTGGGATGGTCCTTTCTGCCCCCCAGGCCTGAGAACTCACATCCCTACATGTTCACCCCAACACTCCCTGCTGTCGACTGGGGTCTGCTCCAGGGAGGAGCTTGGATCTGTCCCAGAAGATTTCTCCATGTCTCTTTTGTACTGAAAATCATAAGGAGCTTTGCCAATCCTAATCTCAGCTCAGTCAGCCCTGGGAAGCAGGAGGTGCTCTGATCCCCCCTTACAGACAGGAGGGCTGAGCAAAGCCACGGAGAGCTGAGGTGTGAAACTCATTCAGAAGCACACACAGGTTTGGGTTAGAAAAGCATCTCCCAGCTTCACCTGGGCAGATCTGTGGGTGAGGGAACGCTGCTGTTCCAGCTCAAGACTGTAATTGGAGAGCTGGAGCCCCACCAAGGGGCTGAGTCCTCCCTCCTCTGGGGACACTGAGGCATTAACTGCTGGGCTGCTTTTTCCAAACCATAATGACCTTGGTGAAGGCCGTCTCCTGGGACGAAATTACAGCGTTGGGAGAGCTGACAGCTTGAATCAGCAAAGGAATCCCAGTGGGTCAGTAATTCCTGGGTGGTTTCCCATCCCACAGCGGCTGTGGCTGTTCTCTGGGTGATCACTGCAGGCTCTCAGATTGCTGCTCTGCTCGAGGGGCTGCAGGAGCTGGGAACCAGGGCTGCCTCACCCTCCTGCCCAAGCCCATCAGGGCTTGCCCTTGCTTCCAGCAGTGCCCCAGTGACGGAGCCCCAGCCTGGTTCAGGGGCTCTGTGTGGTGGAAAAGTCTCTCCTCCCACCCGAGCTTCCAAAGAAAGGCTCAGCAGTCTCTGTTGTTGGGTCTCAAGGCAGTTTATTGCAAGTTGTCTAAAAGATTTTCTCCTCGGGCTGCTGTGGTTTGCTCAGAGCTCAGGCAGAGGCACACACACACCCTGACATCCTCTCTGACCCCGACTGCTTCTTCTCTCCCACCCAGGGCTGCTGCTGTCTTTTATATGGTACATTACGTGTGACATGGTTACAGTTTTCCCCAATGCCTATTACCTATATTAAATGGTGATTTTCTATCTTTTATATGGTACATTACCTGTTACATGTTTGCAGTTTTTCCCAATGCCTATTACCTATATTAAATGGTGCTTTTCTATCTTTTATATGGTACATTACGTGTTACATGTTTACAGTTTTCCCCAATGCCTATTGCCTATATTAAATGGTGCCTTTCTACTCTAAACCAATCTGTGAGTGCCAACATCACCAAGATCATGGAGGTAAGGAAGAAGAAAGAGGGGGAACAGGACCAGCCAAAAATCCCTCCATCTTAAAACTACTCTGTCCCCCATGTACAGAATAAAACCCACCATGTACAAGCATTAAAACCCCCCTGTACAGCACTCAAAAATTCTTCCCTCTACTTTGTAACTACTTCTACTCTAATATCTAAACTTTTGTGACTTCTTGGTCTACCTGCAAAGTTGGTAAATCATTCCATGGCTCAAACCCAAAATCACAGCTGTTTCCAGCTGCCTGCCAGGGTCTCAAATGCTTCTGACCTGGGCTGGGAACCTCCAAAAATGTCTGAGGGACATTTTGAGTTCCCACACCCAGGCACAGCTGCCTTCTCCCTTTTTATCTGCCTCTCTCCAGCTGAGATCCATCACGTTGGAACTTCCCAGAATAGAATGAAGGAGCTGATTCTGCCCTTCCACTATGCCTTCATGAGACCCCACCTGCAGTGCTGTGTCCAGCTCTGGGGCCCCCAACTTCAGAAGGACCTGGAGCTGCTGGAGCCAGTCCTGAGGAAGCCACAGAGATGCTCCAGGGCTGGAGACAGGCTGGGAGAGCTGGGGGTGTCCAGCCTGGAGAAGGCTCCAAGGAGACCTCAGAGCCCCTTCCAGGGCTAAAGGGGCTCCAGGAGAGCTGGAGAAGGACTTTGGAGAAGGGCCTGAACTGACAGGACAAGGGGGAATCACTGCCAGAGGGCAGGGATATATGGGATACTGGGGAGAAAATCTTCTCTCTGAGGCTGGGCAGGCCCTGGCACAGGGTGCCCAGAGCAGCTGTGGCTGCCCCTGGATCCCTGGCAGTGCCCAAGGCCAGGCTGGATGGGACTTGGAGCAACCTGGGATAGGGGGAACCCTGGATAGGGGAAGGTGTCCCTGCCCATGGCAGTGGGAGCCATTCCCCCCTGTCCTGTCAGTCCAGGCCCTTCTCCACAGTCCCTCTTTGTGTTCAAGGTCCCTTCCAAGACAAACAATTCCTTGATTCTGTGATCTCAGGACAGACCCTCCAGCTGGTGTAGCCCAGCAGGGATGGTTATGCTGGTCACCAGAGCCACCTCCACCTTTCCAGAGGGATCCTGGCAGAGGAGGCTGCTTTGCAAAGCCACCATCACCCAGCAATCCCAGTGGGATCTGGGATCACACCTGCTTCTTCCCCAGCCCCTCTGTTTTCAGAACCAGGCTGAAGTCCCTCAAGATTGCCTTCTTTTCTCCTTTTCTCACAAAAAGTCAGAGACCAAAGAGAGGCTGAGGCCAAGTTCACACAGGTGATTTTATGGCTGACTCTGCAATCAATGCTAGCACAGTGGGTTTAAAAAGGATCTGACCCTCTGTGCCTCCGCCTCGTGCCAGGTTAGGGCTGAGACCTCCACCTTGCCGCAGGGAGACCCCGATCCACATCCAGCCACTGCACCAGTGCTGGTTCCAGGAGCTGTGCGAGCAGCAAGCAGCAGAGCCAGAGGCTCAGTGGGTGCTGAGGAGGAGGAGGAGAGATGTTGGGCTGTGCAGAGCCCTGGGGGAGAAAGCCAAGGGCAGCTGAAGGAGTTTGCTCCAGAAACCAGCCTCTGTTTGAGATCTGCCATGCTTTTTTCAAACCCAGCAATGCCAAGATCCTGCTGACAGCCTCAGCCAGATCCCTCAGCTTCCAGGCTTTAATAATACTGGTTTAATAAAGCTGCTCATTGCACAGCAGGGCAGGGCAGCAACAGGGCTGAGACATCGCCAGCCAGTCCATAGCAGGGGGCTGGCCAAAGCCAGCTGAGATTTCCCTGGCTATCCAGACCCCGTTCCAAGGTGTCTGCCACCTCTGCCACCACTTATGGGCTTAAAATCCCCGAGTCAATCCCAGCAGCCTCCCCTGTGCCTGTGAATGTGGAGGTGCAAGTGTGGAGTGTGGTTCTCTGAAGTTTTTCTGCCTGTGCCACCGCAGCCACCAAAATTTTTATCTTGTATCGTGAACTTCTTGCACAACTGGAGTTAGTAAAAAATTCAAATGAATAGGAAGAAGAGTTCTAATTCCACCCCAAAACACCTGCGGTGTTTCTTTATTCTTTGGTCAACAGCAGTGAGTGATATTTCCATTCAATGCCAGACCTTGGGCTCATCCACTTGGCTTTCCCAAGGATGCTCAGCAGCTGGTGACTCAGGTCATTTATTTTGTCTGTAACTTCTCATGGCCCACCTGAAAGCCCCCCTCCTCTCTTTCAGGTCCTGAGCAATGAGAACAAGCTGATCCTGAAGTCAGTCCGCCAGGAAGACGCCGGGAAATACGTGTGCCGAGCCGTGGTGCCGCGGGTGGGCGCGGGGGAGCGGGAGGTGACGCTCACCGTCAACGGTACCTCCTGCTCCCTTCTGCCCTTCCATCAACCCTCATCCCTTCTGCCCTTCCATCAACCCTGATCCCTTCTGCCCTTCCATCACTCCTGCTCCCTTCTGCCCTTCCATCAACCCTGATCCCTTCTGCCCTTCCATCAACCCTGATCCCTTCTACCATTCCATCAACCCTGATCCCCTTCTGCCATTCCCTCCTGATCCCTTCTGCCCTTCCATCAAACCTGATCCCTTCTGCCTTTCCTTCCCTCCTG